ATCATTGAATTTAACAGCACTAGCAACGAAACCCCTGTTATTTTGAAGAACACATATGCGAATATAAGAGAGCTTATTCAGAATAAGTATTTAAAAAATGGAATGTGTTGAGGAACGAAGAAAATTGGGACGAATTAAAAAAGTTAAGAACGAAAAAAGACTTAAGACTAAAATAAGTGGGAAGAACTTAGAAAAAAGTTTGTGCGACGAATTGAGAGAGATCAATTAGGAACGGATCAAACAAATATGTAAATTTGGTGATTAAAACACATTTTTCCCATTAATATATGTTCAAAACAGAACATCTTTAAAAGTCTCTAAACCGAAAAAAAACAACTGCGAAATTATCTACAGACAAATCGTCGAAATAAAAAATAACAGCAAGAAAATATAAACAAATTGACTTCGGTTAATGACGGGGAAGGATACTGTTGTGTTTTGCAGAGTATTTTGCTTTACTTTATTAAAACAGAACCGATAAATAAAAAACAGAGTATAATTAGATTTTCTGGTTAAGTTAATAATTAGAACTTAGTTCGCTGAACAGAAAACACAAATCATGAGTCGTTTAAGGCCTGATTGTCATACGGATTTCTCAATTACTTTCACATACTTGTCTTCGAACCATGTTCGCCACTTCCGTTAGATGAAAATCATTGAAATCTGGTATTAATGGCTGAATACTGCTCTGCAGAAAGTAGCTATATTCAATAATTTGTAACCTAACCTATGAACAACCTTTTAAGATCAAAACCTACGTAGTTTTACTCTAGGTGTCATAAGTTTTATTTTTAGGACTGTAGCTATAGTAGCAGTTGAACAAATCTTCATGCCTTTTGTGTATCAAAATAATGTATTTATCTAATTAATTGAAATAAAACTTGCAATATTCATTTGGTAGTAGCCACCAAAATTTCTTTTATTTCGATCATAACTCAGCAGAGAAGCGATCTTTTATCAAACAGTTTTCATAAAAATGTTGCCCATTGGCCAGGATATATTTGTGAAAAATTCGTTCTGAAATATTGGTTGTTCTTGTCTGTAGGATGACATCAGTGTTCAGATCTCTTGCGAAGAGTTGCAAAAATTTTCCGTACGTATGATGTAGTTGATTTTTTGATCCGTTAAAAAAATTTAAAAATATGGAAATCAAACCAGCCACCCAAATTTCTGGTAATTGTTCAACCGGCTGTGTTTTATGTTCATTTGATATACTACATTTAGCGTCACATCCAGGACTTGAAAAAGATAAAAAGTGTGAATAATAAACAAAATACTCTGATAAAAGGATAATATAATATTAGAAAATACTCGCAAATCGCTTCGTACCCAAGAAGTCATTTAATCGCCAATATACAATCTTCAAATGCTTCATTTCTTAAATCTTTAATTATTTCGACACTTTCATCTGATATTAATTCCAAAGAGGAGAAAATAGTTTTGAAATTAGATTTAAATCGATCGAGATCTGCAATTGGTAATGTTAATGTATCAAATGAATCTATTTCTTCTATCTGATATTATGGAATTTTGTATTTTTTCCGTTAGTTTAAGATTTTTTCTAATATCATTATTAACACTTGTATCATTTTCACATTTATATAATTGAACAGTTTCATTGGCTAAATTAATTATTTCTCTAAATAATTCATTTCAATTAAGCGTATGCTGATGTAAAATAAGTTGAAATTTTTGTTCTATTTCGTTGAGACTTAATTGAAGAAAATAACGATGTATATCTAAAACATACTTTAAAATATCTTCGCCATTTGCTTGTCTAAACTTTGTTCATATGCTTGTTCTTGTATTGAATGATGTGTTATATATTCAGATCTAACTATTTTTTGTTTATATCATCTGATATTGACTTAGACAACAGTTGTTTAATCATTCTAAATACATGTTCATTAATAACATTGTCAGCTAAATTTTGTTTGTGATCATATTGTCTTTCATTGATTTAAATTGATTTTCAATACGACTTTTCCATTTGGGTAATTGTTGTATTAAATTACTTAATTCTTTTTCATAATTTGCTTTTCCTGCATCAATTGCCCGTTGAATCAATATCTGTAATGATATAACAGCAAAATCATTATATTTTTCATGATGTTTTACTTGATTTAAGCTGTTTATTTAAAGAAATCAATATGAATAAGAAAATAAAACTACTCAATTGAAGTCGTTGTCCTAAGGACCACAAAAACAAAAAAGAACGTCACCGTAGAAAACAAAACAAAAAACATTGGACTTAGAGAAAGAAGAAGATAGGTTAAATTGAGAGCAATAAAAGAAAAAATAGATATAGGAAACTGCGTCAATAGCAGAATTTTTTTCCCGTCTTCGTTATTTTTAAACCAATTAACGCATTCTTTGAGCGAATGCGTAGAACGTAGAAAGAACTGAAACGTAGGACAAACTGTAATAAACTTGACGCGTTATAATCTCCTTATGAATGACATTGCAAAAAAAAGTGGAAGGCGCATTAGTGACTTACGTTTATTAATTTTCTGTAGAAAATGGTTGCCATCCATATTTTACTGTGTGAGAAAAAACTTAATACTTTTTTTATAAATTTCATTGTGTGATACTTTAGGGAGCGTTTCAAAATTCTTGCCGTTCTCTCTGCCGTTCTGCCGCTCTGCCGTTCTGCCGTTCTGCCGTTCTGCCGCTCTGCCATTCTGCCGCTCTGCCGCGGCATAACGGATTATTTTTAATGACATTTCGATATATTATCGGTTTCTTTTGATGTATGTATACGTATACATGAAATTTATTTTGCTATTTCTTTTCAATATTCTTAAAC